ACGGGGGCTCCTTCATAAGCGAAGTTTGCCTGCGGGGCAAATAACAAGCAAAAAGAACAGGCACCTCGGAACAGGGCGCGCGGTTCTCTTAGCTTCAAGGTCAATCGTTCCTATTCTTTTTCAGTGTATCGCGCGGTCCCATTGAAAGTAAAGCTTTGGCAGCCCTAAGGTCAATAAAAACCTGCTCAATGACATGGGATTACCTGCCACATCGCTTTACAAATCTGCCCGCGCGTGCCTTATGAAGAGCAAAAGTTACCTAATCATGAGCCCACGCCGTTTTGTTCTTCATTCCCTTTCTCTCTTCTGTCGATTCGTCTTGCGAATGAGAGCTTCTCCGGCAAGGGGAGGATTTTCAAGCAGCTGCGGCTTCACTGAGATAGCATGAGCTGAATCTCGGTGACTGCGATTCCTGCAAATGTCTTATGTGTGACAAGCGTGTCACTAGAAAGGTGAACTTCTGCCTGACCAGCGATCTTCGGTTAAATCAATGATGCAAGCGTCGCATGTATCGTGTCTGGGACTCTCAGATCTCGTGAGACCAGTAGCGAGCTGAAAGCGCCACAGGAGACCTCCCCTTCAGTGTGTCCCTTTGCAGTCTCAGTGTGCGCTTTGCTTTTTGCAAGAAGGTGCCTCAACCTTATTCCTGCCACAACACACAACGTTAGCCAAAAGTACCGCGAGGAAATGTCCCCGGCCGCGCAGCCTAATGCCCGAGCCAAGCCGCACCAGCCGGCAACGCAAGGAGCCAGCAGCGCGGAAAAAGGGCGGTAGCCAGCCATGCGCAAGGGCCCCCCGTTTTCAAGTTAGACGCGCCTCTTTTCTGGCACGTGCTCGAATCGAGTTCCTTCAAGAAGGTGTCCCAAGCAAAGGTCTGTTAGAGAGCTGGCACATCGGGCATGGCCACACTGAGCAACAGTCCATCCCCCAATATGGTGGTCTCTTTGTCGGGGTGGTAGGTCTCGCCGAGAAGGTTCAACTTTGACGTTGGTCTGCCTGCTGTCAACAATGAATTGGTTCTTGTTGCCGACACTGAGTTCGGGCCGAGCTGCTAAGAATTTGGGATGGCTGAAGTACTTGGGGGCATTGGAAGCGCTGGAAGAAATTGAGGGACTGGTGTTCTTGATTCCCATCCAACAGCACTCTGAACTTGGTTGGCTCGGGCGCTCACACTCTCAAGCTTGAAAATTCGAAATTCCGTGTCAGGTCTGCAACGGGCACGACACGCTCGTCACGCCTGCCGTGGCGTGGTTATGCGACTCGTTTGGACTACCCCTGTCTTGTCTCGGGCCTTCTGCCCCTCAACAGGTTCGGAGGTTGATCTCCAGGCGCGCTTGGCACCCCTGGGCCCCCGAGGAGAAGCTTAGGTTAAAATCAGCCTTCGCACCAGGGCAGTTGTGAAGCTTGTTGACTGTCCAGCCTGGGCCTGCTAGCCAAGTAGTGCTCATCCCAGCAAAACAGACTAGAACACTTCTGCAAAAGAGCAGATAAAATTGAAACGCCATGTGGCAATGCACAGCTGGTAGCTGCACTCCGCTTGCTCGATAAGGGAATTCTTCTGCTGCAATTGAGCGCCCAGCGCCACAACCCCACTCTCTGCAATGAAAACAGCAAGTTCTGCGAGCACAGGAACCTCTTGCAACAGGTGCTCCTCTCCTGCGCTAGCAGAAAACACACCACTGCCAGATGAACATGGAACTTCGAAAGCAGCCGTGCCTTCATCTTCTCCTCTCAGTGCATGAGGCCAGCTTGTCTGCTGCTCTGCAAGACTCAAGTATGTCAAGCGACATTGGAGGGCAAGATTCGCATCTTCCCAAACTCAAAAACCTCTCCCAGTCTCCGCCTCCTCACTATCTAAGCACTCGGCCGCGTCCCTGTTTTCGACCCCCTGCACGCAGGCAGGCCATGGCAGATCCAGATTCCTTGCGCGTGCACAGGCCTCGCCGCGAGCTGCGAGACAACAGGCTCCTCAGCCTGAGTGACAGACATCGAACCTTCAGCTCAGAGCTGTAGTCCGAGAGCTTGGAATATCGCAAGTAAGGAAGGCAGTAAGAAGCGGCACTCTGATCATCCAAACTTGCCCTTGAGCCAAAACCGTTATGGACACAGGCGCGCGCCCTTGAAAAACACACGCGCGTGCTTACACGTGCAGAATACACACGCGCACACACGCGCACACACGCGCACACACGCGCACACACGCGCGCACACGGCGCGCACACACACACACACACACACACACACACACACACACACACACACACACACACACACACACACACACACACACACACACACACACACACACACACACACACACACACACACACACACACACACACACACACACACACACACACACACACACACACACACACACACACACACACACACACACACACACACACACACACCACCACACAACACACACACACACACACACACACACACACCAACACACAACGCGCACACACACACACACACACACACACACACACACACACACACACACACACACCACACACACACACACACACACACACACACACACACACACACACACACACACACACACACACACACACACACACACACACACACACACACACACACTCACACACACACACACACACACACACACACACACACACACACACACACACACACACACACACACACACACACACGCACACACGCACACACGCACACACGCACACACGCACACACGCACACACGCACACACGCACACACGCACACACGCGCACACGCACACGCGCACACGCGCACACGCGCACACGCGCACACGCGCACACGCGCACACGCGCACACGCGCACACGCGCACACGCGCACACGCGCACACGCGCACACGCGCACACGCGCACACGCACACACACGCACACACACGCACACACGCACACACACACGCACACCACACACACACACACACCACAACATGTTTTGAACATGTAAACACACAAGTGTGTGAACTATACTCGCCCCACAGCGCTCGAAACACACATGGGAAACGCGTGGAAAATAACCCCAGCGCGGCCCCTGGGTGGTTTTAGGGAAACCGTTTTCAATCATTTTCCCACCGGCAACTCCCAGCATCTCCCAGCTATGATTTGGGGGGCGCTGTGCGTCAGGAGGGCACAAGGCTCGCCTCCAAAAGTTAAATCCGCACGGCGCCACGCAGTTCGCCGGGCACGCCAAACTTTTTTGACACGCGCGATTCTCGCAGAGGGTTCGTCGAGTGGAATGACCCTTTGCGGAGGTCTCCGGGCGAAGTTGAAGCTCGCCAACAAAACAACAAGAGCAGGGCTGTGCGTAGCAGAGCTGTGCCGGGAGCTGCGCAGAGCAAGGCTGTGTAGCATAGCTGTGCAGCAAGGGCGATGTTGAGATGCGCTGCGCAGCAAAGCTATGTTGAGACAGCCTGTGAAGCAAGACTACGTTGAGATGCGCTGTGAAGCAAGGCTACGTTGAGATGAGCTGCACAGAATGCCTGCCCTTTTGACATAGAACTCTTCGCTACGCTTTTGGGCAAAACAAAGCAGCGCCGTGCAAGTCCCGCCGCCCCATGTCAAGCTAACCAGCGGCACACGCAATAGAATCCCGCTGTGCAAGTCCCTAAATCCTGCAATCAAGCTCACCAGCCCTCTCTCACAAGAACACCCTGCAAGGCCTGCGTCAAGCTCACAAACAGCAGCGTCGAGCTCACAAACAGCCCCCTGCAATACCCCTTTTTTCTATCAATGCCCCCTTTTGCTTGAAGTTAGAAGCCTCTTTCAGCAACAAGTATCCGGGGATTGCTTTTTTTGTTGGAAGGACTCAGCTTTTCTGGCCACGATGCTTGGGCCAGGGTTCTCTCCCCTCAAAGCCCTCCCCCGACATGCCGTAGGCGTCGGGGAAGTGGAAGACGCAGCGCATGGCGCACCCGGCGCCGCCCACCGCGTCCATCAAGGGCGCCAGCAGCTTCTCGCCGTCGGCTTTGAAGAATCCGCCTGAGTACCAGCCGCAGAAGAGCGGCATCTTGGGAGGCGGCTTGATGATGCATTTCAAGAGGTCCTCAACGTTTCCCGGAGATTTGTGCTTTCTGAGTTGGTTTTCCTCCTGGTTTTTACTTTCAGAAAATGTCTCGAACATTATATGCTTTCTAGCCAAAAATGGGGTCCTCAACATGTGCCGAAAAGCTTGTACTTTCTGGTTTGGCTTTCCTCTTCTATTTTTGAAACCTGGATGGGTATGTACCCATGAATTTGGTTGCTTTCCTCTGGGGTTTCCTCTTGGAAGTGCATTTTGAAACCTAGATTTTGGCTGCTTTCCTCCTGGCCTCCTCACACCATCCAAAAATGGGGGACGGCCTCCTTGTGGCTTTTTTCCTACCTGCTCGGCTTGGATTGGTTGGCGGCTTGGATTGGTCGCATTTGCCATATGCCTGCGGCTCAAAAAATCGGAATTCCAAAATGGGTCGCCTTGGTGGAAACATGGGTACCAAGACCTGCGGAGCCAGCCCCTCCGATCGTGTAATTTTGATTGCCACACCCATATGCAAGAACCAGAGGTTCAAAACCCCAAGCCATTCCCAAGTAGAGGGCCACATCATGGGCTCCCGTTTTGCCCCAGAATCGGTGAGCTCGCCATGAAGCAGGCAGACACCATCCAAACAAATCGAGAAGCGCCCAGAACCCATGGACTGTTGGTTCCATAGAGTCTGGTTTAAACAGCTCATATGGGCCCGTACTCTCAAGCGAGACCCAGACCGCCCACCAAAAGAGCAACCCCGACCCCGGTCCAGGTGTGCCATGGTCGCCCGCGAAGCCGGAAAACAGAACGGGAAAAAGGCCAAACCACCGCAAAACAATCCCAAATGCAGGATTAAGATTTCCACCCATCCAAGTGCGAAGGCACGGAAATTGTGGTTGAGGAGCCCTTTGCAGGTTCTGGGACCTAACGAAGTTGGGATTTTCAGGCGCTGTCATACAGGTTTCGGCGCTGTGTCTGCAATGGGAGCCGAAAGCTCGGTCCTCAAACCATGGGAAATTTGAGGCATAGGTGACCCTTGCAGGAAACACATCGATGATCGACGGTTTTCCCTGGCTTTCTGGTTCACAAAGCTAATTTCTATACCAGTCATTGGGGCGTCTTTGGGGGGCATCTTTGCGGGGCTTTGAGAGGCTCCTTGTCTGCCACGTTGATGCTGACCCAGCCCGTCTCAGGCCCAGTGCCCGTCATGAGCTTGTAGTGCAAGCGCTCGCCTGCTTCGGTTGGCTGGATGGATGGGTGGGTGGGACCCTAAACCCTAGGGTGGGTTCATTGCCATCAACTGGCTGGCATTTTACCAGGTCAACTTACCACTTCAAGCCCCCGGCCGTCCAAAAACAAGTGTGATGTCCTTTGCATTTGGTAGGACCAGCTTCCTAGTCGTCAATGCCAAATTGCATCTTGAAAGGAGGATGGCTCAACACGGCGATGCTTCTGCTGCCTACCCCTTGCTTTAACGCGTTGAAACTGCTACTGAAACAAACCTTCTTTTGGTTTCCTTTTGAAAGGGTGCCATGGCTTGCAAGCTTTTTACCAGGCCGCCAATCCTGGCAGGCAAATCCCCCCAGCCCTACTTCTTGAGGACAATCGATGGTATTAACCAAGCTGACCTGGCTGTTTGTGTCTCTGGAATGCCAAAAGGCTTCAAGGTGGTTTCGACACACGGCTAGAAAATACACCACTGTGGATGGACGAAATCCTGCACCACTTTGAAACCATGAAAAGCCATTGCGCCTACCAGCTCCAGCTCCTCCACAAAGGCCGCAAAGGACAGGCGCCCGCATTCTTTGCTGCGGATGCTGCGCCCCTCGCGGACCATGATGCCGCCCTTGTCCTGCCACGTGAAAAGCGGCAACAAGGGAAAGGAAGGCTCGATTGATCTCACCTTTGAAGCTGAAAAGGGAAAAACGGAAGAAACCCCGCAAAAGAGGAAAAGGGCACAAACGGGTGACTTGAGTCTGGCCATGTGTCCTTGCCACTGATGACTTCCCACACGGCATTTTCGCCCATTGCACCCTTTGTGCCGAGCTTGAACCACGTGCTGAAAGAGCGAAGAATAACAGCTAATGCTAGGCGGGCACAACTCAAGATGTCTCGCAGTCCCAAGTAAACTGCAAGTTGGCAAATGCAAGCGTCGTCAATTTCTGCTGCGCATGAGCTCTTTCCACACAACCTGATTGGGCCATGCGCTGAGGAATCATGCTGTTCCTAAATCCTACGGATCAAACTGCTGGAACTTGTATCCCTATCATATACAGTCTTACTCACATTTCCCCAAACCAGGTGATGTGAACACCACCCAAACGAGGAAATATCCTGAAAGGTGTTGTTTAAGCCACCCAACTATCCCTTTCAGAAATGGGTCAAATTCAAAGCCACCCATTTAGATAAGAAGGGAAGGAGTGGCTCGGTGACGCCTACTCGTCCCCGGAGAGCAGCGTCCTTGGTTGCTGGAATGACCCCCTGCAAAAAGGTGAATAACTTTGGGGGGTTTAGTGGGAAACCCAACTTGAGTTCAACCAACAAATAAAGTCTAAAGATCCAACCCAATAGCAGTCAAGGAGTAGCCGACCAACAAAAAGGATTCCCCCCCCCCAAAAAAAAAACAAAGGCGCAAGGGCTTTGTGGTTGGTTTGAAAGGGCATCTGGTTCCAAGCCAATAGCAGTCAAGCGTCTTGCCCTTTTGGCTTTGGTTCGTGGAGGACCGCTTCCGCACCAGCGGCTGCTCGAGCTCGGGGTGGGTGGCTTGGGTCTCCAACTGCGCCTTCTCCTCGAAGGGGTTGTCCTCCGCTTGTTTCTTGGGCTGAAAAATTGGAGGCCTTCAAGGATATGTAAGTCTAGGTCCTCCAGTAGAGAGGTTAGAATAAGGGTAACTTTCTTTCTGTAGTCTATTTTAGTAGGGGAACCTTCCCCCAAATCAAGGAGATATGGCCATGGGTCAAAATCCAAATCGTACCCCCAGTGAACATCCCAATCCCCACTAAGATGGGTTCTAAAATGGGTGGTGCACCCCGAAATGGTACCATTGGTGCTGACCCACGGCCATCTAAGTGTAAGGGTTTATCTTCTTTCTCTGACATCTTAGCGGAAGGCGAGTTGAGCCGCCAACCTCGGTTCGATCTTTGAGGTCTATCAACGGGAAACTTGATGGGGTGATTTGGTCCAGTGGGCTCGTCCAGTCTCCAAACCCACGCGGCAGGGGACTCACAACTGGAACGATACCCTCGCCAGTCACGGCCTTCTTTGCCAGCCCTCCGACTCGGATTTTTTGGAGCTCGGCCCATTCCAAGCTAGCTGATTCGTGCCATGTTTCATGAAAACCGCCAATTTCCACAGGCAGAAGCAGCCAACACACCAACCGACCGACCGACCGACCGACCAACCGACCAAACCCCGTGAGACCACACAAAAAGACCCTAAGAGCAACCAGCACCCTCCCAGGCGGTCCATTTGCACCCAACATGGCTCACACAAGAGCAGCTACAAACGGACCAACACACAAAAAAAAACAAAAAAAAACCTGAACACCAACACAAGAAACCCAGACCACCCTTGGAGGGTGCTGGAACAACGCACAAGATTTCTAAACAAAAAACACACACGCGCGCACACACAAAGAACCACATGTTCCAAGACCCATCTTCGCCCCAAAAGTCGACCTCGCCGTCCACTCCTCGTCGTCCGGCATGGGCGACCTGGGCCCGAAGCGCAGCATCGCCACCACGCCGGCCACACCGAAGAAGGCCACGAAGTACATGCCTGGAGCCACACCAAAAGTTCAAAGCCCCCCAAAGGGACGTTTCTGCTTTGGTGGCCCGTTCAAACCATCCCCAAGAAGGGCAGTGCTCCCTTTGGCGGCCCATTAAAACCACCATTTCTTCAGGGTTTTTGGTGGTTTTCTAGAAAGATTCGGATCCCTGGAAAGAATGGGGAAGTTAATCCTAGTACCTCCAAAAATGAGCATAGGTGTCCTTTTTGGCCAAATCGATAGCCCTGGTTGATTGAACCACCGGGAACCCTCTATTTTTCAACCAAATTAACCAAAAAAAAGGACACCTATGCCTGGGCCCCAAAGGGAGTTCACAGCTCTGTCTCTTTTGGTCGGTATGGTTTTTGGTTTCAAAAGCCGACCAAACAAAGGATTCCCCCCCCCCCAAAAAAAAAAAACAAGAACATGTTTTTGGCTTCAAAGAGTAACTGACCAAAAAAAGGATTCCCCTCCCCCCCCCCCAAAAAAAAAAGAGGAAGGGTTTTGTGGTTGGTCTGAAAGGGTATGTTGTTCAACAAAAAGGGCCTCCCCCCCTCAAGGGATCATACTGCGGATGCACAAGCGTGATTTACGCTTGGGATGGATGAAGCAGGATTTCCATTCTGGGATACACTACTTACCAACTGGTGCGAAGTGGATTTAAAGTGTTCCATCATTTTTGGAAGCAACTAAGGCTTCCGATTCTTTGGGGAGCAATAGGAAGAGCAAACATTCCTCACAGCATGGTTTGAATGAGTGTGCGTGTGTGTTTGCTTCGTTTTGAGGGTACCTCTTTCCGATCTTTTCAGATTGGTTTAAAGGGAAACCAAAAGGACTGTCATTGTTTAACTCCTCCGATTTTGACACATGCCCACATGTTCCACCATCAGGTTGTACTTCCTACTGCTTCCCCACCGTGATCCGGATCGCCTTGAAAACTTCCTAACTCCTAATATGCCAACACAACGAACACTTAGCCCTTGCAGCCCCCCACTAACAACCAACAGAAACCGCACAACACGAACTACAACCCTCGTTCCAATCATGGAAGTGGATAGGCTCTAAAGCAAAGGGCCTTCCAAACCCCTCCTGCCAAGCTTCCAATGATTGGAGGGCATACCAAGGCCAACTAAAACAACCTAAATGGCCAATGAGGCGGGAAAACAGCAACTGGCAACTTGCCAGTTTTCAACCCCCCAAAAAACAAATTAAACCCCAAACAACGCACAACAAAAATAAGCCAATCACCAAGATCGCGATTCACAAAAAAGACAATACCAACAAACTAAAAGAGCCAACTAAGGACAGCCACCACCAAGGAATCACAGGGCCAAGTAAGGAGACCCAGGTGAGTCATGATGCCGCCGCCGCAGCACATGCCCACGGCACACGCGAGCCACACCCCGCAGGCGGTGGTGAGGCCCTTGATCTGGCCCGAGTCTTTGAAGATCAGGGCGCCGCCCAAAAACCCCACCTGGGCCACTGGGAGAGGTTGGAGTGGAGTGGCTGGAGTGGATGGAGTGGTTGGAGCGGTAGGAGTGGGGCAGTGGGAGGGGTGGGTGGAGTGGGTGGAGTGGGTGGAGTGGTTGGAGTGGGTGGAGTGGGTGGAGTGGGTGGAGTGGTTGGAGTGGTTGGAGTGGGTGGAGTGGTTGGAGTGGGTGGAGTGGGTGGAGTGGTTGGAGTGGGTGGAGTGGTTGGAGTGGGTGGAGTGGGTGGGGTGGGTGGAGTGGGTGGAGTGGTTGGAGTGGTTGGAGTGGTTGGAGTGGGTGGAGTGGGTGGAGTGGTTGGAGTGGGTGGAGTGGGTGGAGTGGGTGGAGTGGTTGGAGTGGTTGGAGTGGTTGGAGTGGGTGGAGTGGGTGGAGTGGTTGGAGTGGGTGGAGTGGTTGGAGTGGGTGGAGTGGGTGGAGTGGTTGGAGTGGGTGGAGTGGTTGGAGTGGGTGGAGTGGGTGGAGTGGGTGGAGTGGTTGGAGTTGTTGGAGTGGTTGGGGTGGGTGGAGTGGGTGGAGTGGTTGGAGTGGAAGGAGTGGGTGGAGTGGGTGGAGTGGGTGGAGTGGTTGGAGTGGTTGGAGTGGTTGGAGTGGGTGGAGTGGGTGGAGTGGTTGGAGTGGGTGGAGTGGTTGGAGTGGGTGGAGTGGGTGGAGTGGTTGGAGTGGGTGGAGTGGTTGGAGTGGGTGGAGTGGGTGGAGTGGGTGGAGTGGGTGGAGTGGTTGGAGTGGTTGGAGTGGGTGGAGTGGGTGGAGTGGTTGGAGTGGTTGGAGTGGGTGGAGTGGTTGGAGTGGTTGGGGAAAAAGGAATGTGAAACATGTATGGGTGTATGTTCTTTTGAGGCGGTCCCCGTTTGGGAAGCCAAAAGGAAACCAACCGTTTTGAGATCCCCCTATTTTGAGACAAACTCATACATGCGAAATTCCATGGTAAAATGCACCCTACAATTTGACTGGGTGGGTGGTTCAAGATGGGGAGGAATTAACCAAACTCCATCCTAAGGTTTTCAGAATGGGGGATCCCTTGGGTGAGTGATCCTTTTATCCCCTGTTTTGAGACAAGGTCGGCCCAACAGGAAACCGTTGTCACTTTTAGGTAGGTCATACTATTTTTCATCAAAGCAGTTTAAAACGCTACATTTGGTTTTTCAAAACTGGGGTGATTTTGCCAACCAGTATCTGGGTTGTTCAACATGGGGCATCCCGATTTTCTTGCGCATTCTCAGGAAAGAACAACACCTCCTCCCTAATTACAAAAAAACACCCGCGGTGGTTGGTGAAGGGTCATTCCCAAACTCGAACAGGCAAGCAAATCAAAGTAAATCGAGGGGGGCGGGTCTAAACAGGCTTATTCAAAATTGTGGATCCCGATTGTCCTAATCCGCAATCCACAGTGGTTCGACACTACAACAGTGGAAACCAGTATCATCTGGCAGGACTACCAGTAGACGTTGAGCCGGTCCCTAAAAAAAGCATCACCATGGTTCTTAATTTTGAAAACTCAAACACATATCCATCACCATTTGGTTTCTGTCTTAAAGTCAAGCAACTACTCGTCCTGTCTGGTTTTGGTTTCTGTCAAATTAAACAAATCTGCATCACCCTTCGGTTGGTAGAAGCATCGATCCAAAACCAAAACATTCCCCATACAAACAAGCAAAACAACAACGAACAGCACCTCTTCCCCTGGTTTCCTTCTTGGACCATGTTTTACCCTCCCCAAAAAAATCCACGCCCCCTTCCCCCCCCACAAAAAAAACAAAAACACAAAAACACAAAGCCCCCCCCCCAAAACCCTCGCCCGGCTCATTTCCGCGCTCGCCCGTCCACTCGCCCACTCGCCCGCCCAAGCGTGCGCGCTCTCTCCGCTTCATCGCTTCAAGGGGCGCCGGAGGGCAGGGCCGCGGAGACCCGGGAGGCGTCCCAGGTCTGGGAGCCCTCCTCGAAGGCGTACATGGAGCCGATGGTGAAGATGCAGGCGCCCAAGGACACCAGGCTCATGGTGCGCACGCCTGACAGGAGTCGCATGGAGTCGACCTTGTGCGAGGTGAAGGAGGAAAAGGTGGGTTAGGCGAGATCGACGGTGCATTTTTCATGGGAGGGGAATGGTGCGCACGCCTGAGACGAGTAGACTCGAGTTAAGATCACGTCGTCGCCATGCGAGGTGAATGAGAAAAAAAGCTTGGCTAGTCGATTTACCACGCGGGAGGTGAAGAAACAATGGGTTCCTGCGCACTCCTGACGTCGACGAGTTGAGTCGACGTTGAGTCGACTGAGGTTTAGACGGTTTACCTCATGGGCAATGAATGGCGCGCACTCCTGACGTCGACGTTGAGTTGAGACCAGTTCACCCCATGTGAAGTGAATGAAACAAATGGAAAGTGGGTGTTTTTTGGTGCCTGAGTCGATATCGAGTCGAGATCGGTTTACGACCATGGCGGGTGAAGGAAAAAAGTTGTGTTTTTTGGTGCCCTTGACGAAAGGTTGGTACTCCTCAGTTGACCCCATTCAAGGTGAATGACAATAAAGGTGGTGCTGTTCTTTGGTGCCCTAAGGTTGGTTTGGGAAATCCAATGGGGACCTGAGATGTTGGGGCGGTCTCACGTGCTGAACAACTTGAGCGGATTTCTGGCAAGATGGCAAAGGTTTACAAAGGCCTTATTCGGCCAGCTACTGGTTGACGTCCTTTGGTTTCCATGTGATGCCAAAGTTGGTCCTAGTGGCAGCTCCAAATTACCTTTTGGGACCAACCTTCCAGAAAACAAACACCTTAGGGGCCTGTTTCAAATCCCCAAATGGTTGGCTTCCCGCCAAAAGCTTTGGCGTCCAGACCGTGCGGAGCGTCCTGCGCCACGGTTGGACTCGCGGCGCTCAATGCCCAGCAGGGCGCCCACCACTAAGGAGGCCATCATCCGTCGAGTAAACTCGCACTCCAACTGGGTCATGAGCAGCAACTCAGGAAATCGATGCCTTCGAGTCGATGGATTTTTTGGTTGCGATCGGTGCGAGAGATGCAGGGAATGAGAATTGGACAAACCATCCAAGGGGTGGTTTCCTTTGAGGGGACCCCTGGGTTCATTCCCACGTTCCTTACTGAGCACCAGCAAGTTTCGGTTCAGATCCAGGTGACCCAGCACAAACCACCCAAAGACTCCCCAAGGGTAGGGCTTCCTGTCTGCAACTTTGGTTGAAAGCTCCTGGTCCAATTTCTAAGAGCAAAAGGAAGCTCTTGAAACAGTTCAAACAGGTTTGGGGAGGAAAGGGGGTCGTTCGCCCATCGCCTTCGATACTTCCAATCATCGCGGAAGAGCACGTTAGGCACCTTGGGCACTTCGGTGGACTCCTAGCAGACAGATTGCAACATTCCAATGGAAGGAGGCGAGGTTCCCAAGGAATGACGTGTTTTGACTGAATGTGGAACTCCCGCTTGCCGACATGTCACTACCGATGGAAGGCCTGTCAAACGACGAATCTCCATAGGGCAGGGCAAGGCATTGCCCAACAAGTTCAGAAGACCTTGTATATCGAGACTGTGAGCAAGGCAAGGCATTGCTTGGTTTTGTGCAACGCATAAGGCAAATAAGGGAACCACACCATGTTTCCCACAGCCCTCACTCCTCATCTTTGGTCCGCTTCAGAAACTCTTCCTGAGACGCAAGCACTCAGGCTCAAGGGCAAGCAAGGGCCACACAGACACACACCAACAGGTCTCTATCTTCCCCCTGTTGAAACCAAACATCGCCTTTGATGAGTTTCCTGGGGTGAATGTGTCCGGGAGGAGGAGGAGGAGGAACCAAAAGCAGCAGTGACACCCAGAAAAAGGTGTCTCTCATGCCAGGCTGCGACGAGTTTCGGTCCGTAAAGAGGCTCCACGATCAGCGATACAACCGCGACGGCCGCAAAGAGCACGGTCAAGCACACCTGGGGGTGTTCAATTGCTCATTTGGCTTCCGGCTGGGGAAATTGAACTGACACACATACATATATATATATATATAATGTGTATAATCCCCATTTCGTTCCTTTACGAAAAAACAACCCAAAACCAAACACAACACAGGCCAGCAAACTTCGCAGTGCACGGCGCCGCGGATTTGAAGGCCGTGGACTTCCCGCCAGAGGCCGACACCGCCGCGGGGTTGAAGATGTGCTTCGGCATGGCGCCGCAAAACTCGGGCCCGCCCGGGCCCGGGGCCCCGGGAGGCCGAAACGGAGCTTTCAGGCGAGCGAAAACGCGGAGCTTGGCGCATTTGCCGCAGTGGGCGGGGGCAAAATGAGGCAAACCAGCAAACCTCCATGTTTTTTTTGTTGGATGGATGGCCCTTGCAAGGCGCGGCTGCGATGATCTTTTTGTTTGGAGGCGCGTCCTAACGCACCGTGCACCCTGGCGTTTTGCAGGAGCACGGTGGACTAAACCCTAGCAGCCAAGCATTTCAGCTCGACGGATGGATTCCGGCGTGCACACGTTGAACCCCGCCACCCATCTTGGTGGATGCAAATCAGCCAACACTCAAAAGTCCTCCAAAACGCGGGTGGTTAGCAAACGGGGGCAAATGGGGTCCAACATACATCTGGATCATGCTAAAACGGGGAGCCTGCACAAGGGCTTGGGTTCATGTGCATGCGCCAAGCAGGCCTTCCCCCCCCCTGCCCAGATTTGGCACATGTCAACTTCAGATTCATCCGGCCATGCATCAACCCCACGGCCGCTGGCACATACCCTCCAGACAGGGAAGCACACAACCCCCTTTGGAAGACGGCGTTCCCTTCTTGCGCCTGCGCCACATGACCCAAAGCCTGAGCTCAAGCTCATGAGAGGTCACTTCGCGGAGCTAGCTGAAGACCTGGCGTTCTGGTTAGGGCCGCTGAATACGTGCCTGTGAAAGGGGATGCCAACGAGGGCCCCCCAATTTTGGCACCCCGTGCTTGAAGAACCTTGAGTTACGTATGCTGCCGCTTCTTTTTGGACCGCGTGGGTCTGAAACTCAGAAACCTTCTGTCTCATGGCCTTTTTCAAGGGAAGCAACAGCATCTCCCGTCGGAGACAACTTTCCCGCGTCTTTTTTTGCTGCCAGTTTCTGAAGGGACATGGAGTCAATATGAGCCGAGTCAGAATCAAAGCTGTCATAAAAGAGCCGAAAACTCACGGCAAAATGCAGGGGCGGTTCCTGCTCGCCATTCTAAGCTGCAATTCCCCGAATCGGCTTTGATTGTGATGCTGGCTCAACGGGTCTCAAGCAAATCTAGCTACCCCTCCCCATGCGGTTCCAGGATCCGTGACTCATCTCAAACCGTTACCGACTAGCCAACCAACCAATCAACCGACCAACCAACCAACTGACCGATCGACCGACCGACCCACCAACCCACCGACCCACCGACCCACCGACCCACCGACCCACCGACCCACCAACCAACCAACTGACCAACCGACCGACCCACCAACCAGCCAGGGGAACCAGACCTACCAAAAACCAGCCCTAGGGAAAACAAACGCACCGCATCCCCAAAATGATGTCCCTCAAAAACATCGGAAATCCGAACCACACCCATATGACTCTCTCTCTCTCTCTCTCTCTCTCTGCGTGTGGCGACGGGAAAAACCGCCCGCCCCAACCTGATGCTCCTCGGGGCACCCGATGCTCCAAATGTAGGTCGTCCCCGCTGGACAGACTTGAAGGCCCACCTGGAAGCATCAGCCCAAGAAAACTCGATCAGTTGGGAGGAAACCTCGGGATTCCTTGGATCCCCTTCAAAGAAACCAGCGACGCTTCCCGACAAACTGCCCAAAGGTCTCTCTCCCTCCGTGTCTCTCTCTCGCTCTCCTCAGTGGCGCAACAACACCCACGTAGCTACACAAGGTCAACTCCTCAAGCAAAACAGCATGTTCAGAAAAGTACAACCAGGGTGCGACTCTGGAGCTCGCGTTTTCTGGGAGTCCTGCCATGGAACCCACCAGCCGCTGTGCAGGGACACTCAGTGAGATTCCATGAAGGAACTCACACCCCTCACGGTTCGTCGATACAAGTCCCAATGGAAGATGACTTCCACGTCCTCATAATATTGGTTTAAAGGGCAAGGGTGTTTGAAACTAAAGCTTCTTTCTGTTCAGCCCCGCGCCTTTTGAGGCTCCGGTTGAGCACCGTGCAATTTGACCCTTTGCCCCTCACCTTCCCACATTGGGGCTTGATTGTTTGATTGCAGGGCCGCGAGGACCAAAAAGCCAAGTGCCAAGTGCCAAACAAGCTGCTGCGTCGTCATAGGCGTAGCCATACACATTGGGACCTCGCAAAAAACTCCGGCGACTCCGGCGACGGGCTGCGGAAGGGGGAAGGTGGTATCAGACGCTTCTCGCAGGTCACAAAGCCCCAAAATAGCCAAGCTGGGTCCATTGAAGTGATCACCTCTGGTTCAGTTCCAATTCAAAAAACACCATTTAGAGGGGATCGCTTTTTGGACGTCGCAGAAAAGAGGAGCCAACCAAAAAAACAACGGACACCACTCAAACCACCCTTTTTTTTCAGAGGCCGCGACTTATGTGGTTTCTGTTTGGATGCCACAAGAAAGAGAGAGGGCATGTCTTTCACCGCCTTTTTTTGGTCAAAAAAAAGGCGGATCCAAGGCAAAAGCTCCAAGGAGGGCTGAGGGAACGGCAGCTTTCGTGGATCAGCTTCACGAACTTGGTGTGCTCCACAGGCCCCGTCCTGCGAGAGAAATGTCCCGCGGCGAGTCTAAGGATCCTTTTGGGGAGGGTATCCCCTTGGTGTGTTGAAAGATGGAAAGGGAAGCCAACAGGAAAGCATTCATGCTTTGGCGCTTTTTGTGTTTTTTTTTGTGTTTTTTTTTGTTGGCGGGGGAGGGGAAAGGAAGTGGTGGTCCTTTTTGTTTTGGGGGGGGGGTCGTCCGACCCACATAACGCCTGCAGTTCCAGGCCTTGCAGAAGGAATTCTGACCGAATTCCGCCAACCTCTCTAAAGTCACTCGATGTGCCGTGTCCGCGGTCACCCCTGGCCCCGTATGGGCACAAAGGGAGTGGCTTGAACCATTCGGGCATTTGTTCGAAACAGGGACCCCCCAAAGCAGATCGGACCGCCTTTTCCCTTTCAACTGCAAGGCGCAGCTTCCGGCCCCCGGCCCCCGGCCCCCGGCCCCCGGCCCCCGGCCTGCACTGCTCGGGCGAGACTGGGGGAGTCGGACAGCAGAACATCTTCGCCACCTCGCCTCGTCGCAAATACTGGAGGCTTGGCATCATACCCTAAAAAAAGGAGGGTATTTGGAGTAGGGGGCATTGTTGGCTGGTATTTACAGGTGAATCATCATTCCGTTGCTTTGGTGGCGCGAAATGGTGTTTTGTCCATCCACAATATGTGGGTATGTCAAAATCGGAGATCGAAAACGCCTCTGCTTGAACCAGGGTACGCTCCCTAACATGGAAGCTGCCAGGCCGCTGGAACCAAGTCTTTTCAAGGGCTCCTGGGGAGCTTCCATTCTAGTCTGAGGGAGTGTACCCTTCTGGGGTCCCTTTTAAAGGGAACCTCCCTGTTTGAGATCAAATTTTTGGCGGTTCCCTGTTTTAAGACACACATATGAACCGCGCTCCCACTCAAAGCGCCGGTTTTCGGGGGTTTGGTGGAGCAAATTTCGCGTGGCCCGCAGCGGGCAGCTTTTTCTTGAAGCTCTCCCTTCGGCCGCTTCTGGGCCGGCTCCAGCTCATCCGGGAGCGGTTGCATCTCCTGCTGAGGGACATTGGTTTCGACCACCTGGCCGTGTCTGCAATGATCTGGTTGAATCTCAACAGGTGGTTCTACTTGACAACCCCATCCCCAAAACGAAGCCAAAGGTTTATCCACCGAGTTTCAACATGTTTAACCATGGTTGGCCCAATCTATGCTCCTCCTCCTGCTCCTCCTCCTGCTCCTCGTCCTCGCTCGCGCGCAGCCTGGCGCGCCTCTGCCGCCACATGGCGGCGCACCGGTGCCACTCGCTGCGGCGGTGCTGCGCGCCGGGGGCCTCGGTCCGGAAGTCGCCGTTGGGCGCCGAGGGGACGAGGTAGCCCAGGTCCGCCACCATGCCGTCCCACATGTTCCTCGGCGGAGGGTTTTTCTTGCGCTAAAGCGACGCACGCTTCGTCAATCGTGTGTCGCAAACTCCGGAAAGGTCCCTAGATGTCCCCCTACTTCTGCGGGTTTCAGCGTCACCTGGGCGTGGTCATTTCAAAGAGTTCGGGCCCCTTTTAACGTAGAGGTGACGCTTCATGCTTGCACGCCGCACTGTTTAAGAGAAAGCACTGGATCAGAAGTTGAGGGGCAGCAAAAGGAGTTTCAACCATTCTGCTGCTGTACCTGGGTCGCTACGCCTCCAGGCCTGGGAAAAGGCCGGAAGCAAGACCTTGAGGGGTCCTAAGAATTTCATAGAACTTCAGGTTCCTAAGAATACGAGGCGATATTTTAAGAAATTTGGTGGTGCTTGAATGCGTAAGCCCTACGCTAGACCCAAACCCTTCCACCAACAATGAGCGTCGTGGAGTCGTGACTAGCTAAGCAAATTGCTAAGAACGTGAGGGATCCTGGATACAAACACCGACTTACACGTAGAAATTGAAAATAAGTAACTGAGGGTCCCTGAGTCTGACGAGCCCGAACTCCGGTCCAGTGCTATGGGGAAATAAGGGGAACCTGGTCAAAACATCTTCAAAATGTCATTTGTTTAACTGATGTTTACCTTCTTCGTAGCTCTTTCTTCGGTCTTAGGTGACCCACCCTTCCACAAAACGAGGCTTTGCTGGGCACCGAGGCTCATCAGCATCTCTGGCCCGTCTGCTTCTGGCCAGTCCCCCCGCATCGGCGGCGGCGCAGAAGGCATAGGGATCTCCTCCGACGTCTGCTCCAGCAGCTGCAGGGCCAGAACCACCAGCTGCGTCCTCAAGGCCTGAGGAAGTGTGCGCCATGGCTGGGCTCCGTTGAAGCTAGGACCCCGGAAACCAACGGCTCCAACTGGACCTTGGGCAAAGCATGTCAAAAGCGCCGGCTTTGGACAACTGGGGGGGTAATCGAATATCCATCATTCCCCCCCTTTTCTTGGACCTTCGCGATATGTTCACAAGATTCGGTTTTGGACAATGACAACTGGGGGAAGATCCATCATTTCCCCGCCCCGAAGGTTCAAGTCGGGCCCAAGGAAATGGCCAAGAGGCGGCGGTTGGCTTTGCCCAGATCATCGCATGCTCCGCTTCATTGGTGAAGTCCAGGCTGCCCTTCTCCCGCATCCAGGCGGACAAAACCTTGGTTGCTGGAACGACCCCCTTGCAAAAAGTTTCACTTTTTGGGGGTTTAGCGGGAAACCCAACTTGATTTTCCAAAATGTTCCATAAAGTTCAAGTCTAAAGATCCGTTGCCCAATAGCAGTGAAGGAACCTCCAGATCCTTGCTGGGGAGTCTGCTGACAATCTTGCCCCATGCCTTCTCCACCGCCTCCTCCGTGTTCTGATGCCGTGGAGCGGGGGCCGCTGGATTGTCCTTCGTGTCCACCTCCACCAGCGGCAACACCGGGCTTGAAGCCTGCCCCGGTTCCTGCCAGGAAAGAAAGGGGTCCTGCGGATCGAAGAAGTCCGTCGGTACATCCTCCCTGTGCAGCTTGACCGGGTCATCTTCCGATTCCTCTGGCAGGCCGCAGTACATCTCCTTGGTTGATGTTGGGAGGGGAGCACAACCTTAAACTCTGGCAGTTAAGTGGTTGGATTCCAACGTTATTTTTTAGCAGTTCAGTGGTTGGATTTCCCACTAAACCCCAATAAGCAAGAAACAGTTTGTTGAAGAAAGAAGAAGAAGAAAACAACATGTTTCCCAACCACAGCCAGGTCTCCGCCGCGCCCTCCTCGAACATCTGTGTGCAGCAGCGCACCAGGTTCGCGCGCACCAGCGCCCGGAGCAGCACTCGGACCGCCGCCTGGGCCCCGGGGCTCGGCACGTCGCAGCTGAGGCGCCCGTGTTGGTGCGCCAGCATCACCAGCTCCGTGAGGTGCAGCACCTCCGAGCTCCGCGGGCCTGGGGGGTGGGGGGGGGGGGGCTGGGGCTGTTGGGGGCTGGGTTGGGTCCAGGACAAAAGCACAGAGCAAAAAGAAAACACCCAAGAATCTGGGATGCACTCTTCTTCTTTTTCTGCTTTCTAAGAGGTAAGAGAACCAAGCGCGTCCACCCCTTTCTCCCCTTTGGCAGTTGCCCCGAGGGCTTCAAGTCCTAAGATCTTCCTTACCGCCAGCTCCGCCCAGCTCCACCCGGAACATGCCATGAGGGGGAGGGGGGTGGGGGTCCCCAATTCCATGCATCTTGTCTTCCCCCCCCAAACCAAAAAATACAAACACACAAAAGAAACCATGAAACCACCCACGGAATTCCAGGGCACATCCCCCTCCTCCCGCCCCCAACTCATTTTTTACATGGGGTGGACCCCCGCGCCCCCACGCCTTCCGCGAGGCGCCAGTCTGCGGAGAGCCGGGCGCCCAGGTGCTGCAGCACCGCGGCGGTGCGCTGGGCGAAGGGCACCGAGAGCGCCGCCGCGGGCTCCCCGAACTTCAGGGCCTGCAGCACCGCCAGGCACTGCTCCTGGGCCAATTCGAGCAGCCGAAGTGGCGCCACACCAAGGTTTGATGGGTATTGATCTAGTTTTGTTTGTGTTGTCTTTCTTCTTGGGGGGGGATGTTCAACCAACTGAGGGTGTTCAACAGATTAATCAAATTGGGGGGGGGGGGGGGGGGAGGTGGGTGGTGGTTTCCCATGATTTAGATGATCAACCAACCTAAGTAGGTTGGTTGCGGTAAGGGGGCTGCATCAGATTCATCCATGGGTATTGATCTAGGTATTTTTTGGATGTTCAACCAACTGAGGTTTTTTATGGGTTACGACCATGGTTGAGGGGCACACCCGATTCATCAATGGGGGGGGTGTATTCCCAATACTTAGATCAACCAACCTAAGTAGGTTGGCTACCGGTGCGGGCCCCGCAAGTGGTCTGAAGACCCAGAAGGGGGCGCCCATAATAATCAATCCGGGGGGGGGAGTGTTCAACCAACCAACTTAGCCAAAAATGTCCAAACTTTTCTATTTACCACGAAAATAGTCTTCCCAAAAAGCTTAAAGTTCATGAACTCAGGAAGTGAGCCCTACTAAAAAGCAAAATATGGACACCCCCGACTTCCTAGCGGCTCGCTCCCTTCCAACCAAACCAGGCGTCCTCGTCTGCCTCAATCCCGGCGGCAGGAGACTTTGGCGCCGACACGGCCTCGAGCCCAGCTCCCTCCTGCCAAGTGCCAAAAGCACTTAAGCCTCGAATTCAATCGTAGGTTGAATTTCAAATTCAGCCTTATTCGCTCCCCTGTACTTGGTGGCTTGGATTGGTGGTGTGGATAGCTGGTGGTTTCCCATTTGCCCTCTACAAGAACCAGCTATTCACATGGGTTCACATCCCCATCACCAATCAAAAGCAGTCTATTTTAGTAGGGCAACCCTCCTAGCTGGGGGACCTAAATTATAAACTTTGCACATGGCAAATGCACCAAGCACTTGTTCCCACAGGTGTCCTCTTAGGGGAAATAGACGGCCCTGGTAGATGATTAAACCACCAGGTAAACCAGGAATCGCCACCTATTTTTCTACCAAAACAACCAAACAAGCTTGGTTGCTGTTGACCCCCTGCAAAAAGTTTAACTTTTTGGGGGTTTGGTGGAAAACCCCTTTGATTTCCCAAAAAGTTGAAGTCTAAAGATCCAACCCAATAGTAGTCAAGAAAGGACACCTATGCTTGTTCAACACTTCTGCTCCTCTTCCTGCCGCTCAACTTCTGGATCCGCTCCGGCCGCCGCTTCGGCCGCTTTGCGGGCCGCACAGAACTTCCCCCAGCCGTTCTCCGCCCAAGGCGAGAATTTGAACTTCCTGACGTTCTAATCTAAAGGCAACCCACGCAAAAACCGAGAACACAGAGGCCATCACTGCCGGCTTGGCCTTTTTGATGACCAGAAATGAGGGGAACACCTCCAGAAGTGTGAAGAAAAATATGCACTGGGCGTCTGGATCCTGTTGGGTTGGGCAAAGTTGTTTGAACCACCAGCTCCTGGCCTTCATTCACATCGACCGGCGATTGATTAAACAATAGGGTGTCAAAGTTAGCACCAACTTGTGGTATCCCCATTTTGCTTTAAAACCAAGGCGGCGAAGCCCTTCAAGAGAGCCCAAGACAACCCCCCCCGAAAGGCAGCCAAAGGGAACCCTAAGCCCACAACAATCGTCATACCATGTTCGCTGTTTATAAGCACACAAAAATAGCTTCATACTCGTCGCGTTGTTTTTTGGCCTGGGGGGACTGTAAAGGCGGGCCCCTGTTTGGAGAATGCGCTTCTCAATCACCCCTTCGGGACCTGGACATCATATCCACTGATCGGCTTTTGGAACCTTGACTCAAAATGGACCTGAGGGCGGCGCCAACAGGTTTTTGCCCTTAGATCCGCTTCGATTCGCAAAAAAAAAAGAACGTTGCAAGTGAGGCTTCAAAAGCTTCCATTTGGTTAAGACCCCCGGAAAAAAAAGAAAAATAAAAAAGACAGGGAAAAACACAATATTTGTCCAGTAGTGATAAACACACAAACGGAAGAAAGCGACCGGTTCGGTTGCGACTCCCTTCCTCCACGGAGGTTTCCCTGGCGGCGGCTGCGCCAGCAACTCGGCCTGGCGTTGCGCCAAGAGCCCTGCCTCGCTGTCCCAGTCCCATGCGGCGTTCCTGAGCGAATGTGTCCAGCTTCCCTTGGCTTCTCTTTAGTTTTTGGACCTGGAAAACAACATGTTTCCAGTAGTGAAATCGATTCCCTTTAAAACCAGCAGGGGAGAAAGCATATTATTAAGCAAATGGAAGTTGTTTGGTGGTTTGGAATTTTTTCAGCTTCCCTTCTAGGTCTTCCAGTAGAGAGGGTGGAATAAGGGTCCCGACTTTTTTTCTGTAGTCTATTTTAGTAGGGGAACCCTCCCCGCGGTGCCTTGTTTCCACTTGCCAGGGCAGGGCCACCCTTTTTGTAGTTACCCTATTTTTGCAAATTCTGCCAAATCCAAACCAATCCAAAGCAATCCAAAGCAATCAAGGGTAGCCTGTGGTGCCGAAGCAACCTTAAGACACAGGCCAAAAGCCGAGCAACTGAAACACGTAGAACACCCCAATGGCCCGGGGGTGATTTCAAACCGAGGACAAAGGGAAACCCGGCAATTTTTTTTGGGAGCCACTTTGGTGACACATGCCCAATGTGTAAAAAGATCATAAGTGATCCATCACTTTTGAGTTTTCCCTTAGAGGGAATCAACTACTATGTGTGGATGGAAGCCCAATCCTGCGCTAGTTGAGTGGGTTGTCTGTCCCACTTTCATAGTCCCTCCCTCCCAAGAGGTGCGAAGCGGTCCATGTAACGATTTGTCCCAAATATCCCAAAGAAACATGAGACTTGGATCTTGGACTGGGAGAACTTTTCTCGGGGGAGGGAGGAAGAGCATGCCACATGCAGCCGTGGAAAGGTGTGGCCCCCAGTCACTATCAGACCCTATGAGCTATGAGGCTGCAACCACTGTGGCTCTGAACCAGTACATGGGTGTCATGTTGGTTTGTTTGTCTTTTGGCTTCCCTTTTTTAGCAACAAACAAATTGGGTACCCCCCAAAAAAACACCCCACATTGGGGGTTGATCAAAAGGTGCTGACCATTGGGGGCAATCACTCAAAAAATGACATTCCCCAAACAACTAGGTACTCCAAGCAAAAACAGCAGCGACCTGTCTGATTTTCGAGCAGCTTCCTTTCCTCCTCCGACTCCTCGTGCAACTTTTCCTCCGCGAGCCCCAGAGCACCCAGCAGCGCCGACACGGAGTCGGCCTCGCTGTGCAGCCAGTACAGCGCCTCCGGGATCGCCTCCGTCGACCGGAAACTTCGTGACGCCACGGCCGCAGTGCCACCGACAATTTTCAGGAAAAAAAGTTCTCTTTTCGCCAGTCTGGCGAGTTTTTCAGGTTGTGTGGGCCAGTTCTTTGCCAGGTCAGTTCTTGTGGCCTTCCATTCTTTCCAGGGATCCTTCTCTTCAGGAAACCATCTTAAAAACCAAGGTTGGCAACAGATCCGGTTTTGAAAAAAAAAGAAGAACGAGGCTTGAACAGAACGCAAGAGGAATCAACCCCTACCCCGAGGGACACGATGCGAGGCCTCGTCGGTTTCGGGCTTCACCGGCTTCAAAAACGCCGGCTGGGCCGTCGGCGACACGGGCTCCGCGGGCTCGGGCGACTCCTCCATGGCCTGCCGAAGCGCGGAATCAAAGAGCCAACTTTCTTTTTGTTCCCTCTTAGATCCGGTTGATGCGCGAAAAGTCGTGGCAAGTGAGGCTTTAAAAGCTTCCATTTGGTTAAGACCCCTGGAAAAAATCAGCATATCTCCAGTAGTGATAGATCCCCTTTCAAACCAACAAGGGAAAATACAACATATTCTTGAGCAAATGAAAGGACTCGGAAATTTCCGGTTGCTGATCTCAAACCAAGCTGAGGGTAAACTAATCCCTTCGCCTCAAAATGCCATCCAAATGCAGAAAAATCAGCTCCTTTCCGTGAAATGTGTTTTTTTTTTGCCATTGCAGACGACCACCCTCTTGTGACCGCGAATCACCCAATCCCCTCAGTTGCCCAGTGGCCAGGGAGAAAAACAGGCACCCTTTCTGGTTGGTTGAGTTTCAAAAAAAGAGTTGAAAAACGGAAGCAACCCACCCGGGCGGAGTTTCCATGGGCTTGAACCGACGCCTTGAGGAGCGCCTCATGGGGCGCATGGATGCTCTCGAAGTGGCAAACGGGCGTGTCGTTTCGGTAGAGGCAAACCTGGGTATCGGCGAGCTCGAGAACCCCGCGAACTCCTTTTAAGCCAAGCAGGAAAAGGGTACCCTCAAGAAAAAACGAACACACACTCACACACCACACCCAAGACACACTCACACACGCGAAAAATCACGAATAGGACGTCTGGAGAAACTAAATTCAGCCCCCCCGTCTCCACACCACCATGTTTTTTTTTTTTGGTTGGGTCTTTTCACACAACTTGCTGGTGCTCAGGGAATGTGGGAAAACCACATTCCAAATGGTTGAAATCGGGGCCATTCCATTTCTCCTTCCCCTGGATCTCTCGCACCAGCAAGGTCAGCTTGCTTTGCTTGGGTTAGGGAGCAAGAGAAATAAAAATCTCGGGAATAGCGGGGCACTGTCTGAGCAGGAAAAGGCCTTTATAGGGCCTTCAGCCCCCCCCCCCCATCTCCACACCACCGCGTTTTTTGTTGGGTCCTTTCACGCAACTTGCTGGTGCTGAGGGCGAAACCACCAGCTCAAAAAGGAAAAAGTTAAGTTGGGATTTCCTACTAAACCACAACAAGCAAAATTGCAACAACAACCACAACAACAACCAACCAACCAAACAAGCAACCAAACAAACAAACAACAAACAGCAAAAAACAAACAACAAACAACAAACAGCAAACAACCACAACAACCACAACAACAAACAAGAAACAACAACAACCAACAACAAACAACAACAACCAACAACAAACAACAACCACAACAACAAACAAGAAACAACAACAACCAACAACAAACAACAACAATCAACAACAAACAACAACCAACAACAACAAACAACACACAACACACAACAAACAACAAACAACAAACAGCCACAACAACGACAACAACAACAACACAAACAACAACAACCAACAGCAAACAACAACAGACAACAACACAAAACAAAAAACAGCAACAAACAGCAACAACCAACAACAAACAACAACAAACAACAAACAACAAACAACAAACAACAAACAGCCACAACAACGACAACAACAACAACAACACACAACAACAAACAGCAACACACAGCAACAACTAACAACAAACAACAACACACAACAACCAACAACACGCAACAACAACAAACAACAAACAAGAAACAGCCACAACAGCCACAACAACAACAACAACAACCACAACCACAACCACAACAACACCAACACCAACATCAACACCAACACCAACACCAAAACCAACACCAAAACCAACACCAACACCAACAACAAAACCAACAACAAAACCAACAACAACAACAACAACAACAACAACAACAACAACAACAACAACAACAACAACAACAACAACAACAACAACAACAACAACAACAACAACAACAACAACAACAACAACAACAACAACAACAACAACAACAACAACAACATCAACATCAACATCAACATCAACAACAACAACAACGACGACAACGACAACACACAGCAGCAAACAGCAACAACCAACAACAAACAACAACAACAAACAACAAACAACAAACAACAAACAACAAATAACAAACAACAAACAGCCACAACAACCACAACAACCACAACCACAACCACAACCACAACCACAACCACAACAACACCAACACCAACAGCAACACCACCACCACCACCAACAACAACAACAAGCAACATGCAACGAGCAACGAGCAACAAACAACAAACAACACACAACACACAACACACAACAAACAACAAACAACAAACAACACACAACACACAACACACAACAGACAACAAACAACACACAACACACAACACACAACACACACCACACACCACACAACACACAACACACAACACACAACAAACAACAAACAACAAACAACAAACAACAAACAACAAGCAAAAAGCAACAAGCAACAAACAAAACACAACACACAACACACAACAAACAAACAACAAACAAACAACAACAAACAACAACAAACAACAAACAACAGACAACACACAACAAACAAACACCAAACACACAACAAACAAACAACAAACAAACAACAAACAAACAACAAACAAACAACAACAAACAACAACACCAAACAACAAACAACAAACAACGAACAACAAACAACAAAAAACAAAAAAACAAAACAAAAAACAACAACCACCAGCACCACCACCACCAACAAAAACAACAACAACAACAACAACAACCAAACCAACAACCAAACCAACAACCAAACCAACAACCAAACCAACAACCAACAACCAACAACCAACAACCAACAACCAACAAACAACAAACAACAAACAACAAACAACAAGCAACAAAAAACAACCAACAAACAACAAACCACAAACCACAAACCACAAACCACAAACCACAAACCACAAACAACAAACAACAAACAACAAACAACAAACAACAAACACCAAACAGCAAACAACAAACAACAAACAACAAACAAACAACAACAAACAACAACCAAACAAGAAACAACCAACAACCAGCAACAAACAACAACACAACAACAAACAACAAACAACAACAAGCAACAAGCAACAAGCAACAAACAACATTGGGTTGACGGGGGGGGGGGGGTTTGCCCGAACTTTAATTCTGCCCCGCGCTGCCTGTTTGCGGCTGTCGAGGGGGGGGGTCCCATTTGCTTATCTGACACGCTGCCACTTTGCCACAGGTGGTTTTAGACATCTGGTGTCTAAGAGGGCTTGGGGTCTTCTTGCGTTTGAAGGAGCTACCTTCCCGAAAGCTGGTCGTTGTCTCCGCTGCGCTTTCAGTACCGTGCAGGAACGGAAGTTCTGCCAGCAAGTTATCAGCGCAGCTCATGACTTGTCTGCTTCGCATATAAAAGGCAGCCCGACCCGGACAGCTGCATGCAAGTGTTGGTGGTATTCTGAAGGTCTCTCACTAAGAGAGTCAAGCCGCAGTCCTGGAGCCTGCTTCGAGCAAATGAGAATGCTGCGCCTGCCAGCACCGCGTATTCGAATCTGAGATTTGAATACGCGAAGTTGGACATTTCCAGACTTTCCTGTGGTCCCACCGACGCCACGGTTCGCTGCTATTCGCATAGGATTTGCACAATTCCCAACCCACGTCCAAGAGTGACCCTCATTCGCCCGCGCACCCCCCTGGCAACCCACCAAACAACAAACAACAAACAAAAACCAAAAACACCAAACAACACCGCACACAACAACAAACAACAACAAGCAACAACACATCACAACAAACAACAAACAACAAGCAGCAAGCAACAAACAACAAACAACAAGCAACAAACAAGAAACCACCAACAACCAACACGAAACAAGAAACAAGAAACAACCAACAACCAACAACAAACAAACAACAAACAACCAACAACCAACAGGAAAAAATCAGAAACAAGAAGCACCAAACAACAAACCGCAAACAACAAACAACAACCAACAACCAACAATCAACAACAACCAAGAAACAACAAACAACACACAACAAACAACCAACAACAAACAAGCAACAAGAAACAACAAACAACCAGCAACCAACAACCAACAACCAACAAGAAACAACCAACAACCAACAACCAACAACCAACGACAAACAAGAAACAAGAAACAAGAAACAAGAAACAACAAACAACCAACAACCAACAAGAAACAAGAAACAAGAAACAACACACAACCAACAACCAACAACCAACAACAAACAACAAACAACCAACGACCAACAACACACAACAAACAACCAAGAACCAAGAACCACCAACCACCAACCACCAACCAGCAACCAGCAACCAGCAACCAGCAACCAGCAACCAGCAACCAACAACCAACAACCAACAACCACAACCACAACAACAACCACAACAACAACAACAACAACAACAACAACAACAACAACAACAACAAACACAACAACAACAACAACAACAACAACAACAACCACAACCACAACCACAACAACAACAACAACAACAACAACAACAACAACAACAACAACAACAACAACAACAACAACAACAACAACAACAACAACAACAACAACAACAACCATGACGTCATGGACTTGGCGCCACGAGATCTTCCGGCTCCACCGGCAGCAGCTCGGGCCTGCGGCGGGCGCCTACAGGCACCGCAGTGACCTGGTTGTTGGCCTAGGCCCCAGGGGAAGCAACAGGAAACCGTTGCCATGTTGGATCTCTCTCTCGCTCTCTCCTTGTGTCTTTGTTCTTGGGGCAAATTACACCCCCCCCAAAAAAAACAGAAGAAGAGAGAGGTGGCTTTCCTCTTTTGCTTTTCTTTCTTTCTTTCTTTCTTTCTTTCTTTCTTTCTTTCTCTCTCTCTCTCTCTCTCCCTCTCTGTGTCTTTGGTTTTGGGGCACCCCCAAGGATTAACATTCCTGGCCCCAAATGACCATTCAATGGGACATCTCATCTTTTTAGTGGTTTTTCCAATGGTCATCCCACGAAAAGAACCCTTTAATCAACCGAACATCAAAGGGCAACATGTTACACATCAGATCAAATCGGGCACCCGGTTTGGTCGGTGATCTTAATTGGCACAAGGAAAAAGGCTTGGGCCAGGGTACATCGATGAAGAGGACCTGGTCTTGGAGGAAAAGAAGCGCGTGAAATTTCACGATTCGGGGGTCCAGCCCAGGTCTCCAGATCCGATAAATGCGAAGATGATCGCAGATCTTCTGAAACTTGTTGATGCCCTCTGGGCTGTTGATGATTTGTGGTGTAAACTCCTCAGGCATTTGTTTGAAGATGAGCTTCCGCAGGTTGTCATTCACCTATGGTCAAGCCAGCCGGCCCCTTTCAAGATCTTGAAAAACACGCTATGGGGGTTAAACAACCTCCCGCTGGTGTCCATTTTTTACCCGGGGCCATGGGCTGGTTTTGTTTTTCCCTTGAGTTTTGCCCAGCCCTACCTTGCAGGCTTTGAGGTACTGCAGGGATTCCAAAATGCTGTCGAGCAAAGAGAACTCCGCAGCCCCCCGCTTCTTCAGGTCGTCCGGGAAAGGCAGCGGTCTGCTCCCCCCCTCCCGAGGAGGCTCCAGCCAGAAGCCCATAGGGCCTCGTGGGACCATTCAACCCGTTGAAACCTGGCGATTAAGAACTCATGTTTTTTTGAAGAACCGCCTTATGGAACCCCCCTTTACAGGGTAGCAATGGGGTGTCAGGGGGTGGTTGGTTTTTTACACAACCAAAAACAGACCAACCCAATGGTAGCAGGTGGCCGTTTCTCCACAACAACCAAAAACAAAGCAAATCAATGGTAGCAGGGGGTGGTCGTTCTTACACAACCAAAAACAAAGCAACCCACCCGCCTGACTTTTCCATGAGGGCCACCACTGGCAGGGCCTGCCGGCCCCCGGCCACGTGAGGCACCAGCAGGCCCGCGCACCTGTCCTTCAGGAAGCTCCGGTGGAGGGAGTGCTCACACCTTGGCTCTTGCGGCCACATCTCTCGGTCCGCCCAAAAAAAGCTGGACAACCATCTCGTGAGAAAAAACAAAACGCCTTTTCCAAGAGACGCATGACATCCAGAGGAAAACTAATTTTACCGCCACCCGCAGGCAACACGTCGGGAGTCCTGAATCTTTTTTTCCGGCAGAGGCGCGCGCCCAGGTTGGGTCCCACCCAGCTGGTGGCCACCATGTCTCGGGACCCCAGGCACGCCGCGGTGAGCCACCGGGCCTCCGCGCCGTTGGACTCCCCCAAGGCCCAGGTCACCGCCCAGCGGCGCTCCGGGTGGCCCTGGTCCACGTGCCGGATGTTCGCGTTGGGCCGGTCCGGCAAGCGCTGCTGCCACAGCGGCCGGCTCATCTGCCGCACGTCGAAGAAGAGCAGCAGATGAGCCCTCAGCTCGACTTGCGCGAAACCCGCACCGCTGTGATTCAAAGGTAGGCACTGCAACTGCAACCCTGGTAAATGGAAAGGAAGACTAAAATTTGCGGTCCCCTGGTGGTTTTATTTTGACCCATACCCACATCCGACAGAGCCACAAGGTCAAGGATGCAAGCCTCTCGCCAAGACGCGAGCCCACGGAAGTGGCGACCAGATGGCAGGGCTGCCAAGGGCACAGCGACAGCTCACGCAACTTCAAACCTTCGTGGCACAAGTCCGGCAACTTAGGGCCACCCCAGGCTGTGGTCTTCTGCCTAACGGGCAAGATTTCTGGTCGAATCGATGCGGCCCAAGCGGAAGCAACACCCGGAGCGGAGGGGTACTCACATAATGCATATTTTTCTAAATTCGCCGAAACAGGCGCTCGGCACGCCTGGTGCGCATGTCCAGCCAGAGCAGCTCCCCGCCCCCACCTAACATCATCATGTCAGCGCCCAAAAGGCACCCAGCATAGACCCTCTCGTCCCATGTGCTCACGACCTCGTTCTGCTCCAGATCCCACAGTTGAACATCTTGGCTGCGTACCACCAGCAAATCGTCCCAGGCTTCACTGGGGCACACCTCGCGCGAAATGAAACCCCTTGGGCTGGTGGACATTGCACCTATTTGTTGATGTTCCTTATCGGTCTGCAATGTTCTGCGGGCTATGAGTGGTGAAATCGGCAAACATATATGCCCTGGTAGTGGTTGACATTGCACCTATTTGTTGATGTTCCTTCTCGGTCTGCAATGTTCTGCGGGCTATGAGTAGTGAAATCGGCAAACATATATATATATATGCCCTGGTAGCGGTTGACATTGTACATATTTGTTGATGTTCCTTATCGGTCTGCAATGTTCTGCGGGCTATGGGTGGTGAAATTGGCAAACATGTATGCCCTGGTAGTGGTTGACACCGCACTTATTTTTTTGATGTTCCTTATCGGTCTACCATGTTCTGCGGGCTATGAGTGGTGAAATTGTGCTCTGAATTGCTGACATGGCCACACGCGTCACACCGAGGGAGCACTATGCATACTGGACGTCAAAGGAACGACGTGCTGCTGATGGTTGGATGAGGCATGGCAGTGGATGAGTTGGCTATCGGTTTTGACGTAATTTCTGAACCCGGAACTTCGGCTTGGCGACAGTTGCTGGCTTCACCCGTCCAACCGTCCATGGCTGGCCTGGCGTATGGTTGTCTTTCCCGCCTATTAGTTTGGGCGAGTGACACAAGTCGAGGAAAATTCCAGTGCAGGGGCAGGGTTGACCGGGCGCACTTGAGCGAGAGTGTGCTTTACCATTGGGCAGGCGTGCGCGCAGCACTGACCGGGTGCGTATGTGCAGCGCTGACCGGGTGCCGGGCGCGCTTGGGCTGTGCAGCGCTGAGAGTGGGTGTGCTTACTTGACAGCTCTTAACGGGTGACGCGGGTGTTTCCCGGGCGGTTTTGGAATTTTGGATGGCGGGCACTCAGCACATCCGGCTTGTCAGGAAGCCTTGGGCTGTTTTGTTTCTGCTTGAAACTGCCTGAGATCCAAGCCCGAGAAAGTGTCCCTCATTAAGGACTCTCTGACGAACCTTCTGGCGGAAAAGTGTGCAGTGCAGACGAGGTGCCCGCGAGCGGGCGCAAGTGCCGAAAGAGCGCGCTTGAGCGGGCGTGCTTACCATTTGGCAGGCGTGCGCTCTAAGCCTCTTCTTCTCGCTTCACCCGTCTTCGATTCAAATCCTTGCTCTACGGCCATCTCGTTAGATATTTGTTTCGGTTCACCCGCCTTCTTCGTTTCAAACCCTTGCTGTTCGTTGCGACCGCAAATTCGCTTTTAGACCCCTCTTTTCGCTTCAAGTCCTCGCTTTTCGAAGATTTCGGCTTCCCGACTTCTCGGCTTCTCGCCGCTTCTCGGCTTCTGGCCGCTTCTCGGCTTTTCGGCTTCCCTATGTTCCCGTGGACCCCGTTTACCCCCTAAAAAACACGCTCCCCCTCACCAAACCAAAGCGCTGGTTTTCCGCTCGCCCCGCCTGATGGGCATAGCCAATGTTGTAGCAGCTCTGCTCAGCCCACCCCTCCTTGGCCGTTTTTTGCAGGCGCCAGCACCTCGAGAGGTCCCTCACCAAAGCGCGGTTCTCATGGCCCCGAACCTGCAGGCGGAAGCAAGCCCTCTGTTTCGGTGAGTCCCACATGGTAGAGACACTAGACATAGTTTTTAGGGTTAATTACGCAGGTCTTACTCTTTGTTTCCATTTGCCAAGCCACATCGGACAAAATCTCTGAGCATCACGAAACAACATGCCCCACAGTTGGGTTAAAGTTTGTGCAACCTCCCCATCTGAGCTTTGTCATCCCTTTCAATGAAGGACATCAAGGGAATAGCGCCACCCTCCCCATTCTGTTCAGGGATCTCTTTTCTTGAGTGCGCAAAGCGCCAAAAATCTCCATGGGTGGTTTCTCGGAGTTTTTATGGGCCCCTCAAGAATTCGGGCATCGGCAAGCCTCAGAATTTCCCATCGTGCCTCCCGCACCCTATCGGATTTAAAGCGGATGGTCGTTGGCGTGGTACTGATGCAAAGCGCGTCAGGGTTCACCTGATCCGTGAGGCGCTCGGAGAAGTCCTCACCGTCTCCCTGTTGTGGATGGCTTCCAATTTTGGGAAATTTCTACCAGACGCAGAGTTAACCATCCAAGCCTTCCACAGCTGCCTCTTGCCTCTTGCCAGACTTCAGAGGGGCCTCGGAGGCTTCACGCGAGGCCACGCAATTGGTTGTGTTTAATGGAATCCAAAAAGACAGCCACCAAATCCTTCTACGCGCTGTTTTGGCGAATGAAACGTAATGAGAGATCCATTGTCTGCAGGATGTTCAATCCCCTCCAAGTGCCCATGCTTTCTAGTTGGCATATATATTTTGAAAGCGCATGTTTTGTTGCCAACCCCTTTGTCAGGGGTTGACATACCAACCCAAAACGCCTGACTTTGGTCGGAGCTATGGATTGGTGGTTTGGGGTTTTGATTCCCTGGATAAATGGGCTAGCCGTCTGACCTCCAAACCATACAATTCGGAGCTGAGTATTTGGTTGCTGGGCTCTTCGGGCAGGTTATTGAGGATTTAGGATGCCCCTTCTTGTGCATTTGGGAGTGTCTGTTTTGAGGGTATCCCTCTTTTGGTGTTTTCAAAGGGAAGCCAAAAGGAAACCACCATCATTGTTGGGGGATGTGTGTGTGTGTGGCTGTGTGGCTGTGTGTGTGTGTGTGTGTGTGTGTGTGTGTGTGTGTGTGTGTGTGTGTGTGTGTGTGTGTGTGTGTGTGTGTGTGTGTGTGTGTGTGTGTGTGTGTGTGTGTGTGTGTGTGTGTGTGTGTTTGAGTGTGTGTGTGTGTGTGTGTGTGTTTGTGTGTGTGTGTGTGTGTGTGTGTGTGTGTGTGTGTGTGTGTGTGTGTGTGTGTGTGTGTGTGTGTGTGTGTGTGTGTGTGTGTGTGTGTGTGTGTTTTTTGGGGTTGAACCTTAATAATCATTGGGGCGAGGGAGGGGAGGGGCCGACCGTACACGAGCCATTCCACTCTTCGCATCCTCCCCCCTCCCCCCCTCCCCCCCTCTCCCCCTCCCTCCCCCCAGCCCAGGAAAAAATAAAATAAATACATTCTTTAAAGAAAAAGGCGCGCTATCCTTTTGGCTGGAACTTGTGGGTCCTCGTAGAGCTGGAAGCTGTAGGTGTGCAGCACCTCACTGCCCGGCAGCACTCCCAGCGCCTCATCTTCGCACCAGGCCCAGGCCTGCCGCGGAAAAGTCGAATGCTGAAGCTTGCTCACCTCCTGGCAAAACAAATGGCTGGGAGCTGAGCCCGGTGGTTTGGTGCGGCTTCTTGGGGTGGGTGGGTGAGCTCGGTGGCTTTTTCGGGGGTGGTTTGGCGGGCTGCTTTTGGTGTCCTCACTTACCAATCCAAACCATCAATTTGGAGTTGCCTGATCCTGGGCACATCCTAACTCACTTCCCAATGAGTGGACCACATGTAAACAAGGACATGTTGTAGTAGGTGTATGAAGCTGTGTAATTTATGGACGTTGGGCATGGAGTGGGTTGGCCAACCACAAGAAGAGCTTGAAGTCCAGGAACTCGGCAAGTGATTTTTGGAAAGCGTGTCCTTTTTTTGGGGGCGCCCAACAAATTGCTGCTTGTTGTTGGGCTTGCCTGGGCTTCCCTTTAAAACCAAAAAGGGTACCCTCAACAAAAAGCAAACCACAAAGCCATAAAGGTTGGCATGGGCACGTCTCAACATACGACCTGCAGAATCGCAGGATTTTCCGTTTGGCTAAACCAACCCAAGACAGGGTACTAGCTGCCGACAAAAAAAAACACAACATCCAACTGACCTTGACTCCCTTAAAATGGGCCCCAGTGAAGTAGAATCAGACAAACCGATTATTGAAATGGTCTACCCAACATTTCAAGGGAATCCACAGGCGGATGTCCGCAATCATTTCTGGCTGGGACTTCCCCTTAACCTCCAAGTACCCACCTTTGGACCAGGTGAATTCCGCCTTTTCCTCGCCTTCAAGGGCCAAAGAAAAACCGGTTGGTCGCGGTCTGGCATTCTTTGCTGGAATGGGTGCGTCTCATGGGACCTTCAGAATCGTAGGATGTCCCTTTTGGTTTCCCTTTAGACCAACCCCAAATAGCGTTTCCCCCAAGGCCCTGACCTTGAATCACTCAAGAAGAGCCGGTGAAGTAGAAACACACCGTCTAGATCGCCAAGTTGCGATCGCTTCTTTTTCAGTCACTGTTCCTGGTTTTGGGGTTGGCTTTTTTCGTGCATGGAAAAAAAAACAACAACAATTGGCCCCTAGAACCGCGCGAGCCAGGCGGGCGACAGCCGCGCAGTTTCGTTTTTCCCTCCGCTTTTCTCCAGGCTCTCCTCGGCTTTCTTCCTCAGCTCCTCTTTGACTCCGAAGTCCACCCGCACAAAGTCCAGCGCCGGCGTGCCCAGCGCGGCCCCCGGCGGCCGCCACAGACTCGGCGGCTCTGGGAAGATGGCGGCCATGGCGAAGCCGGGTGGGGCTTTCAACCAAACGGACCCGGGCGGCTTTTTTTCAAAAAGACCCGCTTGGGCTTGCTTGGCGGTCTTTTCTTTTCCCTTTTTTAACCTCCCCCCCACAAAAAAACGGGGAAGAAAAACAACCATTTGGTTGGGTTCATATGAAAACCCAACGTTGTTGTTTGTTTTAGACAAGACACCAACTGCGATTGAATGTAGCAGGTCTGTTGCCTTAAACATCTCTATCAGCTTGCGGAGCTGCCATCACATTTTCCTGCGTGAAGCGATGGAAACCGCGTGGTGAGTCCCTCGGCCATACGGATGCACAGCTTTTGGGATCCCTGTTTCTGAGGTTCTCCTCTCATCTTCGGACGAAGGGAGAGCTAACAAAACCAGCACAAAAAGCTTAGCTTAGAATTGGATCATGAATTGTCATTTGCGCCCTGTCAAGTCCTTGGAAACACTCCTACTGTGGATGGATGAAATCCAGCACCACTTCGAAACCATGGGACACCATTGCTTGTCGGTATTTTTTGCAGAGGAATCCTCATTCCAGGGTTTCTTAGGTGGTGCGAAATCGATTTCGTAGCCATCCACAGTATGGCTATGAAACTCTTGGGACCCTGTGAACATCACCTACGTGACCCGCAGCCGAGGGGGTTTGCCTGATGGCAATTTTGCCTTGAGCTTGGCCGAGGCCAGGAGATTGGCCAAGAATGCCTTATGAATTGTTGTTCCCTTAGAACTAAAGCTTGACTCCCAAAAAATCATAGGTTGAGCAACCCAGGGAGTGAATTACAGATGTTTCACGGGATCTTTTCAGTGTTTCGAGGGTGGCCCCACCCTCTTGCAAGCAAGTGGCTCTGGGGAGAATTTCTGCCGACGCCGTTCTCCCAGTTCCTGACACGGGCACAGCTTTGGGTGGAGGGTTTTCCCTTTAGTTTCCTGTCTAACCAACCGAAGAAAGGGTGCCCTCCGAAATCAGACGCACACTGAACTGCTGCCTGCGTACCATGCAAAATCCATGCAAAGCACGATTCGCCGCGCTGCGGCCACGTTTCGAATACGACAGCTTGCCGCACGGCGAGTAGCATCCCACGACCTCCACATGTTCAATCAGACACAAATTTTGGACATGAGAATGGCCAAGCAAAAACCAAAAACCACAGATCGCCCTACCCGCCTTTTTGGTGACAGGATCTATCACACGAAGGTCCTGATGCAAAAACTCTGCACATGATGACTCGATGACTCCGCTCCTGAGTGCCGACACCTTCACCCAGCCACTCTTCTTGTGGGCACTGCCCCAGCGACAAGCCGATGCAGTCGATGTTCTTGCCCTGAAACCGACTGCAAAATGCATTTCGCAAACAAAAAACTTGCGCCAGACAAACAAAACGAGACGCACTCTCAGCCAATTTCGCATGTCCTGCGGACACCTCTCATCGATTTCGATCTTGTATGGAAGCCTAAGCGGCGCATGTGCCGATTCGCGCTTCCCTCGCGCTTCCGAAGGGACTTGCGTCCTGCCGGAAACACGAGCCGGAATGTTTCGTTTCCAGAAGCACCTCGGTGACGGGCTAGCGCCTCCCTCAGCTTCTACAGGCCCAGTGGAGAAAGCCTCCCGATTCGGGGAGAGACCCCAAGGACATGTTCCCTCATATGTTCAGGGATTTTCAACCACAAGTATCACAGTTGGATAAACCCCGAGTGATCAACCACAACTTTATAAACCATAACCAGCCACAAAAAACGGTTGGTCCCCCCACATAGGATATACACCATAACCCTTTGTAGCATTGGAAAAACCCACCACAACCCATCCCCTGGGTTTGACCTACCCTCGAGTGATCCACTCCACTTCCAGGTCACGAGAAGCCATCCACCGCGCTGGTGTCCCACCAGTCGCAGCCCTGATTCGGCGATGCGCCTTTTGAGACCACAACGTTCCCACGAAAAGGGAGAGAGACCATTTAGAGCCAACTAGTGCAACTAAGCGTATTTGTTGTTCAGATGCTTGTTTAGCTAAGAAATGACTCACATCCTCAGATTGTTCATAGTCCACGGAGAGACAGAGAGAGGGAGAGAGAGAGAGAGAGAGAGAGAGATATATATATATATATATATATATGCACATATTTGGGGATTGCTGTCAAGCGAAACCAACGGAAAAACCGAACACCCATCTTAAGTTGGGTACGCTTGACCAAAAACACGACTGAAGTTGGGGACCACCAAAAATTGGCTGCTTCCATTGGACTTCCCTTTTGGAACTACCAGGCAGTCCGCATCCAAAACCAATGTGTATCTCTTTGCTTTGTTTCTAACGGGGTGTCCGACCATTTTAGAGGTTCCATGCCCCATGTCTAAAGCCTACTTTGCTTTTTTAATGACCCCTTGCTCCACCGAATCAAAGGGAAACCAGCCCAGAGGGTACAGCTACGGGTTGGCCCAAAAAATGTGAGACCCAAGGGGGGCCAACAAGCCCAAAGCCGTGATTCTCTTTTTGGGTTGGTCTGATAAGGCAACCACGGTCCATTTGGAGGGCCTTCGGTGTTCATTTGCTTTCCACTTTGCTCACCAGCGCCCCGCCCCCCCTTCGAAGAAGTCAAACCCCGAAGGGAAAACAACTCAAAGGAACCCACCTGGGCACCTTCTCCCTGGGTTTGGGGGGTAAAGCCCACATAGACTCAACAAATACCTGTGAATTTCATCTGCGAACATTAGGGGGGGCTACCCGACCCCAACTTAAAAATCCCAACCAGAAACCCAACGCAAATCCAAATTTCACAGCCAAATCCCAACAAAAGAAGGTACACTGCACCCACAAACACAGCCCACAAACACAGCCCACAAACACCGCTGCCCGCCTTGTTGTTCCGCGCGCAGTCAACCCCAACTGCGCCGAAGCTCGCCTGTTCCCGAAGGCGGCGCGGTAGGGGGCCTAGAGCCCTAATGAGGAACACCCCTAAGGAGCCTCGGTTGAATAAACTAAAACAGAAGGAAGCTGCTTTTATTGACTTTCTGCTTGTTCTGGAGTTTTGACCCTTGATCATTTTGCAGGTCTTGTCAACAGGGAGGCGCTTTTTTCAAGATTAAGAGGGCATCCACAACTTTTGGGGGGAAACAATTATTGCAGGTGGATAAAATCCACCCTCCAAATCCAAGTTCAGAAAGGAACAAAACGGTTTCCCATGCTAAATCCCAACCCTTCCGTCCGGTGACATAACGTTTCGGGTTCCCGGGTAAACGGCCCCGGGTGACACGCTGTGGGCGTTCCTCGAACTTGGAATCCACGGGCGGAGCGCCTCGGGATGGAGCCGAAGGATGTTGACCCCCCCCCCCCCTGCGGTTCAGATACCATTAACAGAATGTTTGGTATAACCACCACTGTTTAGCCAACTTGGGGCAACCTTTCTTTTAATGGTGGCAAGGAACCCAAGGGATACTGTATTCATCAACCCGTTTCTGAATAGGGTGTCCCTGGCTGGGTGAAATGTGGGGAATCAAACCACTTTTGGGAGGGCCCCGCCCCGCTATGACTAAACTGGGTTGATTAATATGGGGTCAACATTCACCAGCCAGTTTTGAAACTAAGATGGGCATGGGAAGCATCGCGGGTGTCGACAGAACGAGTCGGGCAGCATGTCGCAAATGCGCATCTTCAGGGAACTGGTTGTTGAACGACAAACCATGGGGGGCGATTTAGCTCACACCGGGGATTTTGTCCAAATCCCCGCTGCGATTTTGGTCCCAAGCCCCGAAGACGCTGCCGAGCGTCAGCCGTTTTTGGGACAATCCTGGCCATCTCCGCCACTGGAACCTGCCATGCGGAAATTTGGGTGGAGCGGTTGCTATGGACTGAATTCAACCGAGCCACACTCAGGAGGCTACCGTAGTTGCACATGGCACAAAAGTGGCTCGCTTGTCGACCATTTCTTGGGACGCGGACTGTAACCACGGCTTTTGTTATCCCTGGGCTTGCAAAGGTTAACTTAAAAAGTGTGGTCGAGGGCAAAAGGCAAAAGGCAAAAGTGTGACCTTCCCAAAGTACCAATCAAATGAAACTCCTTAAGCAAAAAAAAAAAAGGCCCGTCAAGGCTTTGGGCAAAAGGCTTTCTTTTGCGCCTGGCCCGGGATGCTGGCAAAATCACACTTCTGTTTCCTAAGTGACCCAAGTGTTCCCTGGCCTGTCCAAAGGCGATCTAAAGTGTGTTCGAGGTAGCTCAACCTTAACAGGGTCAGAGGCTATATTGTGCTGTTTTATCAACCATCGACCTTTGGAAGCTTGCATGCCGTTGTTTTGTTTTCTCTGGGGGACATATATGGGGCAGTCGGCCAACTGGCTAAACTCGCCAACGCTCAAAATTGCAATTTGGCTGCCTGAAGTAGGTAGGTGCACATAAGCGCAACAATTTTCTTCAAAGAGACCTCACATGCCCTGTGCTTCGTCACTGTTTTTGCATAGAGGCATTCAGCCGAGGAGGTAATATGACTTGCGCCCTTAACAATGCATAATAATAGTGCAAACGCACCGGAGCAAATCGGAAAAGACTGTGCGCAGCTCACCACCAGCCCAGCACACGAAGCGCAACATTTCAATTGAAGGTTGCCCCGCATACTACCAGGGCTTTTTTTAATGGCCTTTCCACGCCTATTTGTAGCCTTTCTATTCCTTTGTATAGTCGTTCCACGGATTGTCCATGGTTTGTCCACGGTAATGCTATTTTCCAGAGCATGCTTTTTTGTCTTGAAGCTGGGGATCATGCTGGCTGTCGATATCTTGGGCTAACTGCTGAGAAGTTGTCGCAGAATTTGTGTTCAAACCTTCGCGAAAAGCGTCGAACAATCTACATTCAATGACGGCAGTGGGCTGCTAAATTGAATGTGTCACATAGCCACACGTCTTGTTTGGTCATGCCCACGGCAAAAAATGCATTTGGAAAGCACATATGACGGGTGTCCACGTAAATTCACGTGATCAGCGAGCTGCAAAAGCTACATGAACAGGATCCGGTGGCAAGCTGAACTATCACGGATCCACCGCGTCCACCTTATTTTGGTCTAGATCATGTCACATATGACGAATGGTCAAGGAAGGGTGTTGCAGGTAGGCCAAGATTCCCTGGCTCTCCTTCAATGGTCGAGGGACATTACTCTTATAGCCTTTCGTGTGTTTTAAAGGTCGAGGTCGCAAAAGGTATAGTCGAGGAAGCACCGGGTTCTAACTTGGACCATGCCCCGAAACACGTTGCCAGTCGGTTTGGACCACCATCCACTCTGGGTGAGCAGGGTCCAAGTGTTTTTTTCGCGGGTGCATATGCTTTCTGTTTTGCAAGACCAGAAAAGCCACATGAAGAGTCACATTTGGGTGGGTCCGTTTCCAATTTTGAGACCTAGCTATAACATATTGGGCAAAACTCGTTTTGCATTGCTTGAATTTCAACGGCACCCTTTGGTGGACATCACTGAGGGGAATCACGACCCCCAGCCACTTTGGAGGTGGTTCCGACTTTTTAAATTCAAATGAGTGATACTCAAAGCCCACTATTAACATGGTCTACCCAGAACCCATGTCAGAACAAAGAAGGCGGATATCCGCAGCTGTTGGTTGGGATCCCTAACCTTCATCTACTGAAGGGTTTTGGTTGTGGCTCAATCGGGCCATGGAGTTGGTTCGGTCGCCTAAGGCACAGCTCTGGCCCGAGGCGTCGCACCAAAGCTTCGGCCAGAAGCGCGTGGAACCTGGCGAGCGCGCGGGTGGGCGTGAGTCGTAGGCTCTGGGAGCTCGGAAGCAGACCTCGTCAACGTCAAACCCCCTGGTTGATTTATTTTTTTGGGGGGGATGTGGGGGAATGCACTGTTTAAGGGGGTGCGAGGGCTCTTTTGGATTGTTTAAGGGGCGGGGGGTTCTTTTCCCTGGGTGAAATGTGGGGGGAATGGATTGTTTAAGGGGGTGTGGGGGCTTTTCCCGGGGTGAAATGTGGGGAATGTTAACCACGTTTACATCCACCTGGTTGCTTAATAGAGGGGTAGGGGTGCTCTTTCCTGAATGAAATGTGGGGAATGAATGAACACTTTTGCAGGAGAATATCCCCCCTATGAATCAACTGGGGATGATTGACCATAGGGTCAACCATTACCCAAAACAAGAAACACAAATCATGCAAGCTACCCTTGGGGAGGGGGCCCGTGCCTCGGACACTTGGAGACCATGCAGCCGACAGGGGAAAAAACAAATGCCCTAAACGGAGGAGGTTCGCAAAATCGACCCCTTCACTTGGTCGACGTTGGAAGGGGAGCAAAAATCAACTTTAGCAGTTAAGTGGGGATTTCCCACTAAACCACAAAAAGCAAAATGTAAAATGTTTCCCAACAACAACCATGCTCCGTGTCCGCCATGGGGGGAAAAACCCACCGAGTTGGCTTCTTGCAGCTGAGGGGCTGAGCCCAGCATCGGGGATGTGGTATTTGTACCTTTGCCACAGGATGAAAGTTGCGGCCCACAGATTGGCTGTGGGTCAAAAAGAGGTACCCGAAATGGAACCCTGGTAAATGGAAACATGGACTAAAACCTGCGGTCCCCTGGTGGTTTCATCCCACAACCACATTGGCTGGCAGTTTTCGCAGGGGAACCCACCCTGCCACACATCGGCATGGTGGTGTGGTTGCTTTTAGGCAGCCCCAATCAACCGGATGTCCATTTGTTTTTGTTCGGGGGGGGTCAAAGTATGATTAGACCTCCCAAACAAAAATTGGGTGTTTTACAGGGGATGCCAAAAATATGCAAAATTATTTGGGAGGGGGGGGGGTCAATTATGTTTTTTTCTGTTTTTCCCATCTTATTTCCTGTTTGTTGTTTTTTTCTCTTGGGGGGGTTTTGGCCTCCCCTGTAAAACCAAAACAGCGGCACGTCACTTCGGGGGTCTCCGGGTCTCCGATACCGAACCGGTCCGGGGCCACCAGTGCTTCCGTGGCGCTCGGCGTTGGGAGCTATCCTGCCGGACGGCGTAGAACGCGTCTCAGACCCCCAGATCTGGAAGACTGGAAGATGGAAGCTCCCAGAAACCCAGAAAATGGAAGACTGGAAGATGGAAGCTCCAGAATCCCCAAAATGGAAGATGGACATTTTCCAGAACCCCGAAATTGAAAGACGTGGTTACTGTTACAGGGTCGGCCTTCTGGGAGCTTCCATGTTAGCCTGAGGGAGTATAATTCCCTAGATGTTCACAGAAAACAATACGGTTTCAAACAAAAACCGGATGAACACCCAACAATCCACTTTGGCTGACTCCGGGTTTTTGGTCGATTATCTAGAATGCAGCGACGCTTTCACTGAGCAGTTGCTTCCACGCCGTTAAAACCAAAAAAAACATGGCGAGCAACCGAGAAACGTCCTGACGTTCCGCGGAGCTGGAACATTGCCAGATGAAGCTATCCAAATGTCCAGTGTGGGGCACGCGTTCCGCACCTCAGGCTTCAAACAAAAAGAGAAAACCACGTCGGAGACATCCGCATGCAGCCCCCCCCCCAAAGCCAAAAGTCTGACAGCACCGGAGACATCCGCACGCAGCCCCCCCCACTGCTGGCCAAAAGTCGGACAGCCACCCGTTGCGTCATGTTTTATGTGCATTCTCAGCCGCGATGAGACGGGGGCTGGCACCAGCAGCCTGAGTGCCGGCCAGGCGATTGAAGAACCCAAGCTCTCTCTCGCAAGTGTTCCAGGAACCTCACCCGAAGGAAGACACATGTACAGCAACCCCAAGAAGTTTGGGAACAACATTTTAAGATTGGACACCTTGGGAGACCCGCTTTTCTGAAGCAAAAAGACGCCAAAGTGCTCCAAGCGTGAGCCGTTTTCGGGCAAGAATTCGGGTGTTTTTTTCTAGCACCAATGTAATTCTTCTTTCCCCTACAGTACATGATGTTAAAACCGCAGTTCACATGCGCAGTCAAAAATTTGCCTCCCACGAGGGCATGGACACTTCAAGGAGCTTGCTGGCTCTGAGAGCTCGTCCTTCCATGTTCCAAATGAACCAAACTCAATTCCGGCAATCACTCGCGGTGTGAAGAGTTTTCTGGGGGGAGGGCGGGACGCATAGGTGTCCTTTTAGAGGAAATAGATGGCCCTGGTAGATGATTAAGCGATTAACCACCGGGTAAGCCAGGAATCACCATCCATTTTTCCTTCCAAAACAACCAATTCTGGACACCTATGTGCTGACGGCTGAGGCGTGCGCGCCGAGTGCCGGCGCCGGCGGTGCCGGCAGCGGCACCGTCGGCAACGGAGCGATGGAAGGCAGCGGCGGCAGCGGCGGCAGCGGCGGCAGCGGCGGCAGCGGCGGTGCTGGCAGCAGCGGCGGTGCTGGCCCAGCTGCCCTGAGGATCCGGCGCGAGGCAGCCCAAATCCCCCCATATCTCCCCACCCAAAAAAAAGCCTCTTAGAACCTTCTTAGAAGGGAGGCCCCTATCAGCCCGATACAACACCGCAACCGGGATTCCTCTAAATATGCCAGGATTCCTCTAAACATGATGGCGCTTGTATTTCATCATGCGCGGCCGAGTAGGTTTCTTCCATGCAGGCCATGTTTTGAGAGAGGCCCCCAAGAATTGAGAGAGGCCAAAGAAAAACAACGCAGACAGCAACAATGTTCATGAAAACAGTGTGGCCCAAGGCGCCACTGCTTGCTCCATACTTCCAAACGGATACCACCCCTTCGCCAGACCATGGGCGTGTGCGTGCGCTAAAGTCGAGGACCAAACCTGAAAATTTGTGGTTGTCCTGTTGGCTTTGGTTGAGTCTGAAAAGGCACCAAGACAGAAAACACAAAAACAAAAATCAAACTGATCTGGGGCTTGATCAAAAGGCCTACATGGGATGACCATTGGTTGGAAACTACCACGATGATATTTCAACATGGTAAATGTTGTCCTTGGTCATTTGGGGGGCCAGGAATGTTGATCAACCTCCATGTGCAACAAGGCAGTGTGAAAACCAACGATGGCAAACTGCCACGCTGAGGCCGGTGCAGCAGCGTCTTGTTCTGACAGCCCTGCAGACAGCTGCATCCTGAACAGCCGGCGAGCCGATGAAGCAGTGAAGCGCAAGGCGCAAACTGACCTTCTCATGAACATATGTTCTTTCAGGGTGCCCGGTTGGTTTAAGGGGGAAACCTTTTGGACAACCACAATTTTGAGGGCATTTAGCCGTACTTTGACACATATCTATGCGGGCATGTGGCCTAAGAGGGGGAGCTAAAAATGGCCTTCGGGTTTCCTTGTGCCTGGCCTTTTTGGAAATCAGAAGGGAGGTTCAGAGTAGTCATTCTGCCGGGAAACAACAAGCCAAAGCAACCTTCACAAGGACACCGGAGCCAAGGTGGGTTCGGATGCACTCGTGTGTTTCGGTAGTTGATCCCGTTTGCCTGGCGTGTGCACATGCGTGCTGCAGTGTGCTCAATCGTGCGTTCTGTGCGCATACAGAAACGAAGGTGCGCTCCGAACGTAGGTCTATACAAACACATTTGTGTGCTGTGTTTTTGTGTACAAGCGTGTGCATCGGTTTTATCCTATTTGTTCAGTGGATACACGTGCACGTGCGTTCGTGTAGGCATGTGTTCCAAGCGGAAAACACACGTGTCTTCATGTGTCTTCTGCGCATCTTCGGCTGGCACTCAGGAACATTGTAGTGTCTAAGGACTGCCTGATGCTAATTGCTTTTGGATTGCTTTGTAAATGGAGTGCTGTCGCACTTTGCTATCTGCGGTCATGCTGGTATAATCAATCAGTATAGCTCACAGTGAAGGGCATGGGCAACAAACGGTACTTGTTTGAACCGCGAGTTATCTGCAGAGACCCCGCACAGATATTACGAAAACAACAACGACAATACATATATAATATAATCATGCCGCCTGCAATTGCTGCTGCCCCAAGGAGGAGCTTGGACAGGAATGTCGGAACCGCCAT